GTTAATGGGATAAAGATCCTGATGGGAGTAGTGGGGTGCTGGGTGCTAATATCGGGGTCCCTAATGAGGGGGTGAGGCTCTAATGGGGTGGGGGCCCTGCTTGTCCCCCACCGTCCCCCCCCAGCAAGGCAGGACGGGGGCTGGTGGGGCGGGAGGAGGAGGAGGAGGAGGAGGCAGCCTTCGCCCCGGAGAGGTGCAGGCAGACCCGGCCTTCGCCCCGGCGTGACGAGCGGGCCGGGCCTCAGCTCCGGGGACAGGATGGGGACCGTGCCCGCGTCCCCCACCCCACTTTGTGCCCTCCCTGCCGCCGGGCCTGGCCCTTTTGGGGCAGGGGCTGCGAAGCGCGGCCCTGGCAGCGTCACCGGCCCCAGGGACAAACTGACCAAGGAACCCTGAGTTTGTCCCCTTCCCCGGTGGCACGGCACCATTGGCAAACCAAGAGGGGAAACTGAGGCACGGGGCTGGGCGAACACACGCTCTGTGTCCCCAAGTGCCACTGCTGCAGGTCAGGAGGGGAAACTGAGGCACAGCGGGGGACCGGTCCCATCCGCGGCCGCTGACACCGCAGCCGGCGGGACACGGGCCCGGATGAAAGGAAGCGCCGCGTTCGCTCGGCGCAGGGGGCACGGGGACGGGGACCCCCCCTCAGCCGCCGCCGGCTGCGGCGACTTCAAGGCTGCGGTGGGGGGTGGGGTGAAGCGGCGGGCCCCCTCCCGCCCCCACCCGGAGGACAAAGCCACCGCTTCGCTCGATGGCAAGGGCTGTCCCCTCATCCCGGCTCCGGCTGCGTGCGGTGCCGGAGCCAGGATAAGGGATTGTCCCCAAAAACCACCGGCTGCGGCGGGGTTTGGTTTTATTTCGCCTCCCCGGGTGGGTCTCTGCTCTTCGTCCGGCGTTGTTTTAATGACACCGGGGGCTCGGGGGCCGGTGCCGCGCCGAGAAGCCGAAATAAAACGGTTCCGCTGGAAGCGGGGTGAGGTCGCGGTAAGCGACAGCAGTTTTCCAGCTGCGGGATGAAGGGAATTAGGCCAAAAAAAAGTGGAAAAGAAAAAGGTCACGGTGAAGACGGCATCCGGGCGGCCGGCGGGGCGCCGGGCTCGCTGGCCTCGGTAGCGTCTCCAAAATCAACAGCGGGGCCGTGGCGGGGGGCTCCCCGCGCCGTGGCCCCCCGTCACCGGGGGACATCAAAGCGGGGCGGGCGGCTTTGATGCTGGAAAGCAAAATTAAAAAAAAAAAAGACAAAAAGACATGAAACGCGCCTCGTTTGCCATCAAACCCCTCATTTTTTGTAAACCAGGGGCTTTTTCTTGGGAAACTCCCCCAAAAAAGCTCCCCCGCCGTGCCCCAGAGCTGGGTTGACCCCAGTAGCTCACGACGGAGAAGGGGAAGAGGCCCGGGCGTCCTAGCGGTGACAGTCCCTGTCATGACAGGGCTGGGTGCTGTGACAGGGCTGGGGCATGTCGTGACAGGGACTGGAGGGTCCGCTGTGGTGACAGGGCCCTGGGGATGTTTACACAGCGACAAGGGCCTGCGAGGACACGTCGCAGCGGGATGGTGGCTGTCGCGACAGGGCTGAGGCGGCTCGTGACAGGAAAAGGTAACGGGGGAAGCGAAGAGCGGCGCTATCGCGACACGGCCGGGGTTACCGAGCCGGCGTGGCCGCCCCGGGGACGCCGCCCGGGCTTGGGGGTGGCCGGCTCCGGGCAAAGCGGCCGGCGCCGGCGGGGCGGAGCCAGCACCAAAATGGCGCCTTTTCCGCCACATTCCCGGCGCCGCCAAGCCGTCCCTCCAAGGGCGCAGCCCGGCCGCTCTCCCCGCCTCCTCGCGGCGCCCATTGGCCAG